CCCCAAAACCCCAAAACCCCTAATTGTAATTAGTTTAGATTTTAAAAGTTAAATTGACAAATAGAATATTGAAATAATTTTAAAAAGGATTTCCCCTTAATTATTTAATTAAAATTAAATGGAAAAATTTCTGAGTTTTATTTAGAATCTAGATAGATTTGGCTAAAAATTTGAATTTAAGTATCGAGATCAGACTTCTTTTAAGAGTGTACTTGGGGGTTTTTTCTCTATTCTTAGCTTTGGTGCTCTCTATGGCTACTTTGCATTTCTGATGTGGAAAATATTAATGCATGACTAAATGAATTACAAAACTTCTCAAATTTTCCAAAATCTGCTAGAAAACAACATAGAGTATAACTTAACTGAAAAAGAATTTGATGTAGGAGTATTTCTCCTCTATTATGGGTAAAATTAAACTGTCAAAAGCGAAATTGATACGTACATATCGGTAATTATTAGCTAAGTAGAATTTGCTAAATCAGATCATACCTCAAATTTACTATTTTAATGGGGTAAATATCCTTACGAGCTAGAGTAATGTGAAATTGATAGATTAGGTGGGAATAGTAATGAAACGCTTAATTTCAATGGAATGTGGTGTCCAAAGAATTTTAACGTTTCTTTATCTGGAAATATTGCTAGCTCCGTTAGAAAATTCATATCGATAGATATAAAGTATTGTGAACAAGAGATTCTAGATAAGATTAGACCAGGCAAGAAATGTAAATCAAAAGCAGAATCTGAACTTCATATGAAGAATGTCTATGCAGTTGTTGCCTAAAAGTAATAATACTTTGATATTGATGAGTTTCAAGTATCCCCTATCAAGAACACTCTTTAGGTATTTCCATTAGAATTAGTTCCTAATATGTCCTAGACTTAATACTTTAAACTAAGTAAAAATACTGCTACTCTTAGAGATTCTTGGATGAGTTCATTTTACAAGGAAGAGGAATTAATATTTTACAAAAGCAGGTTGTAGCTTGGATCAATATCATCTTCTGATAAAACTTTTAACAATGTAGCATCTCTGCAATATTTCATTGATGAAAATGTGGAGACTTTTGAAAGATATTCAGATACTTTTATGGATGCAATGTCTTAAGTAGGAGGCTTTATGGGCATTTTACTTGGACTAGTTTGCTTTATTACCAATTATTTCCAAGACTTTCTCTATAATTCCCATTTTATTCAGATATTATACACTTACAATGAGAGACTATTTTGTTAGGAATATCAAAGATAAGCTATAAATTAAAACTAAATAGCTGGGGAACATATTAGAACTGATAATACATTTGAAAATAGTCATCATAAGCTCAAAATGAATGAATATTAAAACATTAACTCAAAAAATGACGATTTAAATTAAGCAAATCTCATTTAAAAGCTAATTTTGGTGGGCATACTAGGACTAAGAGAATTTAAGTATCGCTTCAAAGATAGGTGCCTCTATATTCTAAGTAAGATAATTTGCTGTGTATTTTCAAGAAAGGCTATAAAAAGAATAAGTTTAAAAGAACATTTATTTGCCAAAGGCTTACAAAAGCTGGAAAAAAACTTTGATATTGAGAGATTTCTAATGGTAATTAAGAAAGTAAAATGCCTCGAGAATTTATTGCTAAGTAACTATTAACGTCAAATACTTAGTAACATAAGGCAGGCATTGAAGATAGATGGTATATAGCCTCATCCAGTAGCAATAAAAACCTAAAAATATAAAAGAAAATCAGCAACTTTTGATTCTAAATTAATGACATAG